CCTCAAAATCTCTCGGTTTTGAAGATAACTGATACTTAACTGAATGGGATATTACATCCATAATGTTGAAGAGTGGGCCCAGGATTTCCAATTACTTTGGACATGAATTAGAAGACACGTAAGCTTTGGAGGAATTATCTTACGCAAGCAAAACCTGGGAGAATTATTGAAAAAGGGTCAACCATATTTATTTATTTTTTTGGCGGAGAGACTTGTGGGGGGAGGCATGATATATTCACGCAGAGCTGCCAGAGAACGAGAATTATTTACGCAAGCTTTGGAGTCGCAATTAAAGAACAGAGAGCAGATACACGGAGCAGAGCATAAGAAAAACGCGAGGAACACGATCAATCGCGGAGGGAGACCGCACCCGTACACGAGGAGGATAACTATATTCTTCTCTTTTTCTCTTTATTTATTATGTTAGAGTAGATTTTATTTCTAGTTCTGGGGAAGTTGAACCCTACGTACTTGATGATGTTTAATTGATTTTCGTGGTTGATAATTTTAATATTTTTGGAATTGTTTGTGTTGTTTTGAATAATTAACCATGATGTGTTGAGTCTTGTTTAGATTGATCACCTAGATTAGACTTTACATATCTACACTTGAATTAGGCCTTCAATCAGTAATTGTTGATGTGTTTAATTCGTAAGTGGTATCCAGAAGATGGTAACTAGCGGAGATAACACGGCCTATTTAAGTGAACGAACGCCGTTGAGTTCACTACTTAGTCTAGTCTATTTTTCTAATTCGTAAAGCGGCTGATTATATTAAATCTAAGAAGCGATTTCTAGACTGTACAAGAAGTCAGGTTTAATCGTAGAGCGTCTCTCGGTTAAATTAAAAATAAGGAAAAATTCGGGTAACAAACCGTGTCGTTACCTAGGGCTAGTAATTCCATAAGATAACGAGATTTGATGCCAGAATTGATTAGATGAGTCGGTAAAGGGTGTAGATAGAACCATGAACTAGAAAATTCTCTTATTTATTTTTTTAATGTTTTGATTTTATTTATTCTATTAGGATCGTATATTTTAATCACCCCCCCCCCCCCACACCCCATTTATCGCTTTTCATTATTTCAATTATTACGAGAAATTCATAATTTGATTCACACTCCTTGTGGGTTCGACCCTTACTCGTCGCTACTACTAGTTAGTGGAGGTTGGTTAAGGAAATATATAAATTTTAATTTGGCCGCGTTGCGACTCGCGGTCAACTTCCAACTCTCTGCTTAACATCATTAATCACAAACTGGAAAACTTCTCTCTTAGACCTCCCCAGCCCCATAGGCAGACCCAAATACCTAGAAGAACTACAAATTTCAATCCCATGTAAAGTCTGGCACATTGCAGTCTTCACCATATCAGCCACATTTCTACTGAAGAATACAAAGGATTTAGCAAGATTTACTCTTTGCCCTGTGAAACTTTGATAAATAGCAAGCACTCTCAGCAAGGTATTAGCATTTCGACCATCAGCAACACAGAAAAGTAGGGCATCATCCGCAAAAAGAAAATGAGATAATAGAGTACCACCTCTAGTTATTTTTAGACCCTGCATTTCCTCCAATGCAACTGCATTTCTAATTAATCTGGAAAACACTTCAGAGATGAGAAGAAACAGATAATGTGATAATGGATCCCCTTGTCTGAGACCCCTAGAAGGCACCACAAACCCTGAAACCTGTCCATTCACATTGAAAGAATAAATAGCAGAAGCCAAACAAGCCAAAACCCACTGCACAAAAGATATGTGAAAACCCATCTGTAACATAGTTTTGACCACACACTGCACAAAAGTGTTGTTAGTTTTCTTATTGTTTCTAACTGTTTTTATTTCTAACTGTCTTCTGATTATTTCTAACTGCTTTTTATTTCTTTTTTTGTCAGAGTGCATCTAAATCAAAACTAAACATTTTCATTAAAGATAAAAGAATGACCAGAAGTAGAACTTGTGGAAAACCTAAGGCCTTTACTCAGACAATTGGTGCCCACCTAAGCAACAATAGAAATAATGTGAGATTCTCCACAACCAAGCCAATTGTCACCTCAAGCCAGACTTGTGCAAATCAAGTACCAACTAAAGAACCTCCCTCAAATAGAGTGACCATAAAGTGGCATGCCCCAAAATTGCAGACCAATGTAGTAGAAAGTCTTGTGTATCAGTGGTGTTATTTTCCAAACTTTGTTGGTGTACTTGTGGTACCATTTTGGTGATTGTTCCCAGACTAATGGTAGTAGTGATCTTTTGGTCATGATACAGTGTTGGTGATTGTTACGATGACATAATGGTGAACTTTTGGTTTTGGTACAGTGGCATTTTAATATACTTATCAATGGCATTTGTGATGGTCTTCGGATTTTATTAATGGAACTTTGGAGTTGATTAATGGCACTTTGAAGATGTATGGTACTGACAGATGTTTGTGTTTGCAGTTTCATTTGATATAGTTCAATCATCTTTGTGTAGGCAAAATTCATGCAGATTAATGTGTTGTGTTGTGAATGGCATAGATCAGTGAACTTTCTGCAGGTTTTGGTACTTACTATTGTGATTTTGGTACTTACACAAACTAAGCTAATCATTACACAAACCAATTTCAAACAAATTAAGTTCAATCATTGCGTGCTCATATGTAAGTTTTAAGGGATCCAAGCACATTCATTACACAAAGTATTTGAACAGGTCTTACATAAACCATTTCAACAAGCCTTACAATACTAAAATTCAATCACATTCACTATATAAACCTTTTGAAAAACCTTACAATACCAAAATCCAACCACATTCATTACATAAACCAATACCAAAATTCAATCACATTCATTACATAACCATTTGAAGAAGCCTTACAACACCAAAATCCAAAGACATTCATTACGCAAACCGTTTGAATAAGTCTTACACAAACCACTTCTTAATTCACTTCACAACTCAGCCACACCACAATCACTCCACCCGAAAGAAAGATAACAAGTCTAACCCCATAGCAACTTCACCCAAAAAAAAA